ATAAAATATATCTCATCCCCAAAGCTAACATAATGCTTAATAAGGAAACAGTTGAAGCATTCCCCATTAAACGCAGAAAAAAGACAGAGATTCATTATCATTACTATTATTTAATATATTCTTGAGATATTAACACAATTAGACAGAAGAAAGAAATCAGAGATATAAAAATAGAAAAGGAAATAATTATCATTACTTACAAATAATATAATTACATGACTGGAAAATCCAAGAGAATTGACTCAAAAATTATTATAAACAGTGATAGAACTGACTAAGGGAAGGTAGTTGGGTATGAAATTAATGTTAAGTAATCAACAGCCTCTTATATATGAACAACAATGAAGAGTTAAAAAATATAATGAAGAGTTAAAATATATAACGAATNCTCCCAAGTGAGCTAACCGGCCATCCCTATATAGGGATCCGAACCCACGGCCTTGGTGTTACCATCACCACACTCTCCCAAGTGAGCCACAGGCCCTAGAATATTTAAATTTTTAATAGCAGTATCATTCTATTCTTTGAACTTCTGTTTTGTACAGCAAAATCACATGGTGATCTATCATAAAAAATATATGTAATAATCCACTTGGTTATTTTTTAGCTGACCTATTTGTTAGGTACAGTCTAAGCTCCTATAAGAATGAAGAAAAATGCAGTGGCCTAAACTAGACAGAATTTTATTTCTCTCACACATAATAGTCTTGGGTAGTCCAGGATAGGTAGGATACTTTGCTCCATGGGGTTTTCCAGGAGAAAGTTTTTTCCTTACATTGTTGCTTTCCCATTTCTTACAAAATTGCCCTCAGCTGAATGGCTGAAGCTGGTTTATTAGCACTCTAACTACACTCCAGGCTGTAGATAATGGAAAAGAGAAAAAGGATGAACATTTAGTCATTTTGCTGCACAACACACCATTCAAACCTTGCTGGTTTAAAATAGTAATCATTAATTAGCTCGCAATTCTGTGTTTGGGCAATTTGGGCTGGTTTTAGCTGGGTCTTCTATTGGTCTCGGGCTCACACATTTGTCCGTAGTCAGCTGGAGGTAGTCTTGGTGCTAATTGGTTGCAAATAATCTCACTCACGTGTGTGATGCTTGACTGGAGTGATGGAGGAAACTTCTGTAATGTGTCTCTAGCATCCAGCAGGTTAGCCTGAGCTTTGTCACAGAGTAGCTAGGTTCCAAAAGCAGCAAGAGAGGGCAAATGTCAATGCATAAGCACTTTTCAAGACTCTGCTCGCACCACATTTGTTGATGTCCCATTAGTTAAACCAAGTTATGTAGCTAAATCCAAATTCAACAGGTTGGGTAGAGTGGCGAAGTCACATTGCGAAGCGGCATGTATACAGAGATGGGAGGAATTTGTGGCAGGTTTTGTTTTGTTTCGTTGCAGTCTACCACAGGCAACAAGTCCTATAAGTAGCACATACCACTTCGCTTTATCTACCATTGACAACTTAGCCACCTTACCTA